ATACTTCACCCATTTAATTCGTCTTAATATTGTCTCGAACAAAGCCTCAGATTTTTAAGTTTTTGATAAAATGAATACTCAAACGTTTTCTTTTGTCCAAAAATAAAAAAATACGTGATTACCTCCGCTGAGATTTATATTTCATATAAACTGTACTGCAATCAGGTACTGGAACAAATAAGTATAAGTCGAAAAGTACAACATCGACTCTGAGTAGTTCTTGAAGATTAGCGTTGGTGATTCTTCTTTAATGAGTATCTGTCATTGTCCTAGCATTTTTTTTTTTTTGGTTCACAATGCAGGAACTACGTGAATAAGGAAAGATTCTTTTTATACCAACTCTTTTTGATTGTCTTTCCGAACGAATGTTGACGTTTCTAAACTATCATTCTTAGAAACATTATATAATCCCTGTTGAAGCGTCCGTGAGCAGATATTATTTGACTAATTTCTGTAAAAATTTGTTAAATTAATCTTACTTTTTCAACAAAAAGCCCAAAAAAATTGTGTTGAAATAAATGTGTCAAAATAAATAATAAAGAAAAAAAGCTCTTAAACAAGTGTATATATTATCAAAGTCAAACACAAAGAGGAGAGGAATAATAAAATTACATGTGGCAAAGAAAAGGAATAAAATGGATATAGACCGCAAATATAGTCAAAGAAGTCAATAATCGTTATGACCACACGCGTAAAGTTCGATCACGTCCGGTAGAAATCATATATTGACCTTTTAGATCAAATTTAACAAACTGGACTTCATCATGATGAGAGGCTAAAGGTATTAGCTAAAAAAGAGAAATATTAAGTAAATAGTGTCTCCATCATTTCAATTAAGTTAAAGAGAGACTGGAAGAGAGAGTCATCATTGATACTCTATATACAGCGATTGAGCGAATTAGTTTTTACCTGCTCAGATCCGATATTGTACAATTTGATAGTTTTATCACTGGAAGCGACTGACACCAATTGTCCTATAGAATAATTATAATTTAGATTATACTAGATTCTAGACAATCCAATAACACATACCAGCTGGGTGAAAAGAAACACTGTTGGTTGAATATGGTCCAAAATCGAGTGTAACTATGCTTTTCACTGTTCTTACATCCCATAGTTTAACAGTTCCTTTAGAATCACACGATGCTATTGTATCACCCTATAGAATATATAGAAACACGTCTGAAAACTATATATATTATGAAATGAAAGCGAACGTACTCGGAGATTGAATGTGGCTTGATTGCAAGGATTAACATGTCCAACAAATGTATGAGCCGCTAGACCCTAAGTCGATAGATACTGTGAAAAAATACCGAATGATTACAAGTTATTCACTTACTGTTCTTGCATCCCATAACATAAGTGTTTTATCAACGGAGCTTGAAAGAACAATATTTGAAAACATTAATAGCTCAGCTAAAAAAAGCAAGAACATGAATACAAACTTTATTGGGAAGATTTTCATTGAACTTACCTGAATGGACGCTATCCTGGTGTCCACGCATCACTGCCCGACATCGTAAACTAGAAACAATTATAACATATATAATTTGTGTCTTCATATTTCCTATTTATTCACCTGTTCAAATCCCAAAGTCTTAAAGTTCGATCTTGTGATGCTGATACAATAAAATCTCCACATGAATGAAAATTAACTGACCAAACTATAAATCGATAAAATAAAAGAAACATTTCATTTGTGTAAATTTTAATCAGTATATATTATGTACCAGGTAAGAGATGATTTGTAAATGTATGCACACATTTTTTCTGTGAAAAATCCCATATTTTAATTGACGTATCACCCGAGCATGTTGCCATTTTGTTTCCACTTGGATGAAAATCACAT